TAAACAGTTGCTGCCCAGGAAGCCCAGTTTCTAAAACTACTATATAATGGAAGAGGAAGCGCCAAATAAAGCTGAGTGCCGTAAACGTGCACTGAGGCATCAGATTTAGCATATTATGAGTAAATAAAAATTAACAAAGCGTAGAATCGAGAAAAAAAGTCTTACAAACGATCCATTTAAGATCGATAACTGCAAAAAAAAACTAGCAGAGACGGTGATAATTACTAGTCTCGTATTTTCTACCAACACTTCAAACATTTGAATGCCTCATGTTTTATAATTGTAACCGATTCCTCATAGTCATAACTTTCATAATTTTTGAAATTAAAACTAAACATCCTCGTCCGCATGTACAATTTCGCTCCGAAATAATATTAATACGCAACTTTCAGATAAGACTACTACAAAGATCAGCTGAAAGGCATTTCTTACAAAGACAAAAAAAATACCATTACAATATGGTTTCAAAATACTAAAATAAAAAAGGGCTTAGCTACAGCCTTATGTAAAAAACACGAAAAAAATTAAGTCCTTGAAAGGCCTCGCTCGGTAATTAAATAACAAGTGTTAGCGAATCACAAACCGACACACTGTTTGTTGTGGAATTGCATAAGTGTTGAACCATGTAACCATAAACTTATATTAAGATCAGTAAGCAAAGTTCTTAAAAAACATGCCAAAAGGATACTTCCACTCAACGATGCCAATGCACATTTTTCGAAGCGGATTTCGTAGACTGAGGCAAAAGAGGGCCCTCTGAGGCCTCGCTCCAGCCGCTTGTGCCCGGGAGGTTGGTCGCTTGCGAGCATTGGTCTGCGCTGCCAACGCAAGATTGGTAAGATTCAGAGGCTTGCCCTGCTGTGTTGCAGCTGCAGCTGCTACACCCGCAATTCCACCCAACGTGGAGCCTACTCCAGCCCGAATAGAGGCACCCAAGGAGCCCACAACTGCATCTTGGTCAGACTGTAATGAAGACTGCGGCTGAGTGGGCGAAGACGGTAGTGGTGGCGTTGGTGTTCCAGACGTCGGTGCGGAAGAGGCAGGTAGTTCAATTCTTGGAATGGCAATATCACTCCTGTCGACACCTATCCAACGTTTCTCACCCTCTTCCTCCTCTTCTTCTTCGGAAGAATAACCGCTGCGCGAATGGGTGTTACG